CATAAATTAGCAAAATGCTGTTGCAGCCTCATGGGCTGGTTTCATTTTAATTTGTCCTGGGGTGTTGTAGGTGTGCTGTGTCATAAAACTGCGGTTAGAGCAAGCCAAACTTAATGCAGAAGGTCCTTTTTTCTTCTCCAGCTCCAGTGCTGTTTCCTGTGTTCAGGTTTAGCCTGTCACAAAGCTGCTTGGCTAGAATACAGATCTGTCTGACAGCTGTGCCCATCAGCAGACAACTTCATTAAACCTCATTAAGATGTCATTTCTCTGCCTTATTTCCCACCTCTTGGCTCTAATTAAAACCGTCTCTCTCTGCATCCCAGGCGGTCCTAATTTTCTCTGGGTACCTTCTGCAAGTTTTCTCCCTTTATGACCTCAGTGAGGAAAATCCAGCATCTTAAATACTGTTTATCCAGCCCATTTGGAAAACACAACTCTAGACTTTTTCCTGAAGCATTCCCAGAGCATCCTGCAGTGATCATCACCTTCTCTCAGGGCTGAGAGATGTGTGCTGAGGCTTTATTTGCTCTCAAACTGTCTTTAAGGACTCAGGTGATGCATCCTTTCCCCTCAGACACAATAATTTTCATGGTTGAACCAGGTGTGTCTGAACTGAGTTTGGAGGGTGCTGTGCTCAGACTGGGCAGCGCAGTGGTGGGGGTGTTTGATCAGTGGGGATACTCTGGTTGGCTGAAGGGTGAGTGATGTTGGCTGTATTGAGCTCCCTGGCCCTTGCCAGGTAGTTTGATTTATGAAGCCCCCAGGTTTGAGCCCTGGATTTATATTTGAGTGTCTAATGGTGTTGGAAAGTCTTCACTGGGAAGGAACAGGAAGTCTTGGAAATGGGTCTGTTTGTGAGAGGTGGGCACATCACAAAGGTGGAAGGAAGTATAAAACCTTTAAGGATTCCCGGTTTCATTGCACCACTCATTTGTGGTTTATCCCCTGGTACCTATGGCCCATTGACACACATCGTGTCGATTTCCTAAAGACCCCTGAGACCGTGAGAGGGGTAGGCGACCTGTCTGTGCAGAGACATACAGCAAGAGATGGAGGCATGGATTTTTAATCCCTGCATCTGAGGCAGCCCTTCACTGGGAGGGGATGCTGGACAAATCCATGAATCATCTCTGCTTCAACTCAGCTGGGGCTGCTCCATCCCCTCCTCAACGGCTCTGCCCTGCGGATGCCTGCAAACCCCACGCTGGTGCATTTTCAGTCTGCCAGGCCCTGCTTCCTTCTCTACCTTCTGTTCCCCTTTTCATTACACCCCCTTGTACAGTAAAGCCTCCCGTCACGCTGCCATTACTATTATTATTGCAGATTTACTGCACTTGCAGAGTGAAGTGATTGTGGTGACAAGGCCCAGCATTTTTCCCTCCTTCCCCCCGCGACAGCTTGAAATCAAGCCCTTCATTTGCATTTACATGATCTTGCTGTGCAGCTTATGAGATCGGGAGATTTATTTGCTACTTAGCTTGATGTTTGATTACACTCTAAGAAGGCAGTGAGCTACAAAGTGCAGGGATACATCAGAACTGAGCTACTGAAAGCCTCTGGGGGACAGTAACTCAACATCAGGTTTAGGTAGATGAGAAAGGGAATGTTCAGTGTTTTGAGAAAAGCAAATTTGACCAGATTTTTTTTTTTAAAGGTGGAAGGGGAAAAAAAAACTTACTTTCCCTCTCTCACAAAAAATGGTTGAGAAAGCAAGAATGTTGTTACAAAAACACACCTGAAAATCTGGATTTGTTAGTGCTGAAGAAATCCTAGCAGGGGCTGGTGGCTGCTGGGTTGCATGCCGCTAACTGCTTGTAACTTCCATTCCCAAGAAGATTATTAATAATAAGTTGGCAGTCATCTTCAAAGATTTTCATAAACATTAAAGGTCAAAGTCAAAGGAAGTTTTGCTTGATGAAAGACCATAAAATCTGTCCCTGATTTATTAAGCTTCAAAACATGCCACTGAGCTTTAATCCTTCTCTAATAGTGGGAAAACTGAGGCAGGGAACTACTGTGCCCATGCAGGACAGCAAAGGGAATGGAGTTTGGGTTGGGGAGAAAAGTGGGTCGTTCCTGCTGTGTTCAGAATGGGAGACCAAGTAATTATCATGTCCCACAGTGGTGTGAGAGTCTTCCAGAGAAAAGGGTGATGGTTGGGTAAAACGCTGCC